GGTGTACACCACAGCTCCGTAGAGCCACCTGGAAGACCAAAAAATCTGGTTTTTATTTCAGGGCATGACGGAGAGCGATGTTTGAGGCCACACCAGGGAAGAAACACTCGCTCAAGCCCGAGTGTATCATCTTTTTCCAACATACAAGTAAACTTACTCCACGATAGGGAAGAGAGTTCGTCCCTCCCTTCTCGAATTTCCTCAAAACATCCCTTCGAAAATTGCGAAATGTCACAAAATGGATCTAGTGGCAGGTAAACTAGATGTTCTCCAAAAAGTGAGTTGTATACCGTTCGACAGTATTTGTTATGGGGAATTGAATGGTGCACATCTCAGTCTTCTATGTTCATCTGGAGAACCGAAAAAAATCTGATCATATCGCAAGGGCATGACGAGGTGTGATGTTTGGGGTCGCACTACGGAAGGAAGACTCACCTGCCACCAAGGTTTCTATGTAATTCCTACAGATAGAATTAACACCGATAGTGCTAACGTCATAAACGAATTTGGTCGCTTGCCCCATTCACCGCTTTCTACATCACACACTGGCTCTAACCCCATGGAACAAAAAACCACGTGAGTGTCGCAAAAAATGTGGCGGTGGGACGGCGGCCGAGCGGGATGTTGGGCCCCCACTACTAAATGAATTCATATCTCACAGCGCGCATCGAATACCCCAATAGCAAAGTCTTCAATCGCAAAATGAAACTTAGATTGGTATAAGTAAACGGGAATAACGATGCGCACTGAGGCTGAAAACGGTGAAAAACCAAAGTTTCAACTGGGAGGAGTAATGTATATCATTCGATAGCATTTTTCACGGGGAATCCAATGGGGCACATCTCAGGTCTGCGAGTTCATCTGGAAATGCAAAAAATCTGATTTTTATTTTAGGGCATGACGGAGAGTGATGTTTGGGGCCACACCACGGACGGAGCGCTTACCCGTGACCAAATATTCTACCTCTTTCCTACAGACAAGTGACCGGAGTCCACGTCGGTGGAGAGAATTTCTTCTCGCTAAATCGCACGTGGCGCCAAGGGCTGGGAGGACGCATGCTATGGGAGGCAGAAAAAGGAAAAAACAAGTTTTTGAATACCTGAATTTACACCATTCGTAGTATTTTCCTGGAAATGAACGTGCAACCCCTCACTCTGGTAAGTCATCTGAAGACCAAAGACCAACTGATCATTATTAGGCTATGACGGACCAGATGACTGTTTGGGCGCACACCACGACGAGCGGCTTACCCCGACCAAATTTCACATCATCCTAGAACATCCAACTGTATCTATTCCATGGAGAGATCTCTGGCTCCAGGTTTCCGCAAATCATCTCCTCTAAATGTGGGGAATGTCACATAATAGGTCTACTACTACTGCTGGAAACTGTTCGAAGATTCTCATTTGGAGTGGAAGAATGGGTTGATCAGCGCACGGTTAGCCAATTAGCACTCTAAAACGAAGTAAAGATCGTGAAATTCGAAAAAAACATTCACTCAATCTCACCATATGGTGGACCGGTTGGGTACGTGGCGTATTCTGAGGGTGTTGAGATCCATCTTTCTGTAGGATGATCAGGCTGCATAGGAGGACTTATATGCGCACCATACTCACCAACCTACAATTAATCATCTTCTCGGCTTATTCGAGTGCATGGCGCAATCCTAGATGGAGCTCTTTCAGAAATTGAATTTAACCATCTTGTAGATCTCGAGCAGAGCTATCAGATGGTATAAACTGCAGGTCGAGCGAACCATTTTTTAAAGAGTTATGGCGAGCCGACGGTTTGCGACGGTTTCCGACCGTCGCAAACCGTCGATTGAACAAAAATTAGTAGCGGTATTGTTAAAGCTCCCTCGCGGGATAGTCCTCTCGTCTGTCCCACCTGGCGTAAGATACAGGGACAAGCTTTGGATGTCCCTTTTGGCCGCTGAACTGCGGCTACAGAGAGCAAGCCCCCCTTCGTCCACAGTCGCAACCCACACCTTTTCCGCAAACCCTCACCTTCCACGAGTCACTGTCCCGAACGCTTTCTGAAAAAAAACGAGGAGCGCATTAGTGCAAGCGTCCCTTATACTCACCTGTTAGCCACTGGGAGCAACTAGGTTCGGGTAAGCCCTCTTCTCCATCTCAGGTGGATCGGAAGTGAAATAGGGGAGGTCTCTGTACGGGGCGTAATCGGTGGTTTCGTTTGCTTTCCTTCTCTTTTACAGACCACCTCCCACCTCTAGCTTCATAACTGAACGCTTTTCCACACCTATTTTATCCCGAATCTTGCCTTTAATAGCCTAGATTTGGGTTATCATGCTGGCTTACTCACAAAGGAAAAATGCCTAAGGAATACCCAGAAGTTCTTGAAAAAAGTACTCTTTTTAGAGGTGATGGCGGGAGATGTGGGAAAGCAGGGCAAAAAATGAGGGTGCTGAAATGAGCTGACGTCAATTGACATCACTGGAACCCAAAGACTGCCCTCGTTTCCCTGTGTGCGTCAGTTTCATCACCAGAACACCAAACACTTTTTCTACTGCGATCATGATCGTAATTACCTCCTGTCACGTAATGACCTTCGATCGCGCAGTTTTGATGGACTTTCCCTGACGGTCTAAGGTTCGCCGTCCTTATGACTTCCAAGCAGATTAATCGGAACAACCTCCTCGGTAACAGACCAGCGTGCCTTACTCATCTAGTGAATTGTTCCATTAGTCAATCGGGGACACCTCACGTTCAAGATTCGCGGATGTCTTTCTCTCCCTACACCCTCCATAATGAAATCCGTATCTGGAGCACCTTTTCAGTTTCCGGGCTCGCCCTGGTGGATCGGATCCTCATAAGGGCTTAAGTGAGTCAATAAAATAAAAAAGGAATAAGAGATGATTTTTTTGATAAATAATAACTGCTGGTGAAAAATGTGGGGAAAATGGTAGGTGTATGCGCCCATAACGGCTGTCGTTTAGGTGTGAACAAGCTAAATGGGGTTGAATATCGGATACGGCGTTCTGGGTTGCATGCCCTCAAAGGCAAACCCCGGGATTAGCCCGACTAGTAGGAAGGATACCGCGAGGGAAATTGTAAGGTCCGTACCTACCTAGATCACTCCAGCTTCGTCGCAAAAATTGCGCGGTTAGGGCGCTAATCCTTACGGGCCTGCAACCATCGACCCCGTTGCAACGCTTCCCACCCACCGCGATGGTGAGATCAGCGTGCTCTCTCGAACGGCGTGATCTCTCGCGTGTTTTGTCTTCTTTGATCGCCCTGTCTCGCCATAGCCCCAGTTCAATCTAGGGGTTCGCCTTTAAAATAGCCGCTACTGAGAATTGCGGTGCACTCTTCTG